TATAGATATATATAGATATCTATAAAAGCAAAAATCATTCAAGTATCAAAATACAGACCGCTAGATTCATGTACAATATCATTCTTATCATTGTTGTCATCAGATTAGTCCCGAAAAATCTCTCCTGATCCTCAGCAATGTGCAAAAGCAAAACGGGACCAGGCTGATGGCTGAAGGTGCCGACACCAGCGAACTGAAGACAGTGTACCATAGAGTTATCGTACTGGCCTGACAGCGTACCACATATACAACAGTTAAATCAAAACCACCTGACTATGAAACCATATACACATTGGCTGACCAAGAAGTACCATTAACAGTCAACATACTGGGAGTTAGCTAGGAGAAACATGCTGTGTCCTATTGTTCTGTTCTGCAGCTAAAATCTAAAGACATACCAGCCTGCATGGCAGGTTTGGTGAATAATCTTGCTTAGATGAACTGAACAAAGGCGCAGAGAAGAACTGCAATGAACCACACCTGATCCAGTTCCAGCATTAGGACATGTAATTGTCCTATAAAACAATTAAAACATACAAAAAAAAGACAAGAGGGACAACTTTGAAATCAAATAAAAGCCACCCCCTGTTATTATAAAACAGTCTTTGTAGTGTCAGTTCCTCTGCCCTTTGAGTTTGGTTAGAGAGTTCCTCCCGTGCAAGATTACATTGTTTATCACAGTTATACATGTACAGTATGTTGTGGATGAGAAGCTCATGGTCATAAAGAGACGCTACAATGTGTGGATACAGGACGAATGATCCAGGAAGGACTGTGTACCTACAGTGTGAGGTCTCTGTCTGATGTACCTTTGTAGCATAACAAAAAAAAAAATAAAAATATGTTCCTCATCTCAGCCACTTCCTCTTTAACAACAAGTTCTGCATTGAAACATCGCAGGTACATTTCCTGAAAAAGGTAAACAGTGACTGAGGGAAGCCTGATCGGTGTTTCATTTCTCAGGAAAATGCAAAAAGCATGACAAGCACATCTGACTGGGAAAACCATCACTTTCTGACGGACAAGAGGCTAAACGGAGGCATGTGTGAATGTGCAGTGATGAAGTCGGTGAGGTCGGGTGAAGTGATGGGTCGTGCAGTGTTGAAAGCTTTACGTCTGTTAACGTCTCCAGGCCCCCCCCCCTCGAGTGTTACTGTGGTGAGCCCGATCCAACTGGTGGTGAGATCTTTCTGCATGCGAAGTGGGTCACTTTTCCAACAAAACATCCTACCCACCATGCAACAGGGCTCATTCCTGTCCTTTCTTACTGGCTGGGAGTGGCCACAGTGTTCAGCTATAGGGAAGGGACACACAGACACATGCACACAAAGCAGTAAGGTTAAAATAAAGTAAAAATAACACGGAACTAATGGACACAAACAGTTTGATGGTGATGGATTACTCCCCCTCACAATGATTAACTCCAGAAGCCATTACATTTTAACTTGTGTGATTGGCAAAACAAAAGGCAATGCTGTCAGGATGAACATAGAAGGCATTTGTTGTTAAGAAGATTAAAAAAAAGACAGGACAAAGGAAGATGCTCTTCTTCTTACACACTTGGGGGATTTATATTTGGATTCGGTAAAAGTGCTTAGTTTTAGTTAGTTCACGCCAAAGCAAGCATCAGGTTTAACTCCTGGTGCCTGGTAGACAGACAGAAGAGGGCATGCCAGTCTTAAGACGGTTTGGTCTTTTTTCTGGAGCAGCGAGGACCACTACCGATATCAGCCTCTGTGCCCTTGTCTGTTCCCCTCAAGAAAATCCCCCAAAATGCTTACTTCATTAGCTCCAAAAAGGACCATATCACAGTGCTAGGATCTTAGCCTCCTTTGGCTTCGAGCAGACCGCTGACAGTGAAAAATAACCCCCTTAGTTAATCCAGTGTAACCACTCTAATACCACGACCTCTGAACTCCACTGGACAGAAACTCTGCTAAATTTGTCCAGCATAGAATTACAGAACCAGTTTCTCATGTCCATCCAGGTACAGGATGTGTGCAGTGGGTCGCTCTCGGCTGTGGTATGTCAGATTTTCTCGGCACTCGGAGAAGTCACGAGTTGAAAGATCAGAGTGAAAAGCCTCAGAGTGGCCATCGCCTAATAGAGCAGGAAAAGCACCAAGAAAAAAACAGAGCTTATCACCAAGAGTCAATAGTGGGATGTTGACGAGGAAAGAAAGGAAAGCATTGTACACACAGTTCAGGGAGCATACCAGGTAAACAGAGAGGTGAATAACAGTGGTGAAGGTGAGTGGCAGGTTGGTAGTGTGAGTGATACCAGCTGGAAAAGGGTTGGAAAAGTGGAAGGGTTGCACTAATAATCAATAATATAAAAAAAGAGTAGACGTAGAGGTGGTTCAGCACAAGGGAGGAGCAAAGCACTCTGTCGCAGGTTGTGTTGTTTTAAGATGGGGACATAAGTGACGGCTGAAGGGGAGACGAAGGAGGGCAGAGTTCCGGCCCAGAGAGGGAAAGAGAGAGAGAGGCAAGAGTCACAGTGAAAGGCACACAAAAGGAGGGGAAGGAAGAGGGGTGAGACCAGGCCCAGAGGTCAGGAGGAAAAGGGGTCCACTCAGAATATGGTGGTCTCGTACTTAGTGCTGATAGTGCGCTTGGATTCCTTGGGGTCCACGAGCCACGTGGCGCTGCTCTGGGACTGGGAATCCCCCTCCTGTTCCACAATGTCCCCCTGTAAACACAAACAGAGGGCATCAAACTCTCTGCCTCTCAACAGCAGTGGACCTCAAGTCATTAACTCGTTTAAAATACAGATTGGACAGAATAACAGAGAAAGGAGCTTTAAAATAAACTCCAGTGTCTGTGTTTACATGCAGATCAACCCATCTGGTTAATGTTTTATTGTATAGTCTTATATACACTGTCATAATATAATCTTCTCACCAACAGGCCACAAAGGCTTGTGTTGACATTTCCCTAAAATGTACCCATAAAGCTCGGCCTGTTTTTACAATCATTGGTAGCACTATATTGTAACCCCTCCTTTTTACCAACTAGTTCTTTATCAGTTTATCAGTGTATTTCTAAACAACTACAAGTCCCTCCTGTGGGCACCTATAAAAAAGATGTGTTCATAGCAGAAGTTATAATATAGCTATAATATGTATACATTATAGAGTGTTATAAACCAATTACTAAATGTTTATATAATGATATATAAATCTAGTTTAAACCGTGTCATATCATGTCACATCCAACTGTCCGTTGAAGATAGTTTACTTAGTATACTTTTAGGACTTCTTGTCTTAAGAATTTAGCTTGAAGGTTTATTATTGACCTTGAAAAAGGCAGTTTACAAAATAATGTCACCACCAGGTTAATTTAGTATTAAGTACCAGTAACCAACTGCTGTTTTCAAGGTCAAGAATAAACTTTCAAGCTCAACTTTTAACACAGGAAGTCTGTAGTGGCACTGAATGGGCTTCTCTCTGAGTAAAACCTTGCTTGTATTACTACCAAACTGTCACTAGGAGGAGCCTGAGTCAAAAGCAATATTCCAAACATCATCGTGGCTACATGTAGGAAGGGGTTTAGGAAGGGGTAGCTCATATATATTTTCCTACAAAACAACCATAAAACATACAACAACACCGATATAAATTCACAAAGAAAAATGGGTTAAAGACACAAATGGAAGATTTTTAAGGCAGTGAGAGGAAAAAAACAACAACAAAAAAACAGGAAGCCAGTAAAAATTGAGCGGATGGAAATGGGACAAGAATGAGAAGGCAGCACCTGGGCAGCAGGGCTGGCAGAGTGCAGCGGTAGGAAGGAGGGGCGGTGGGTGGTGCAGGTGTAACAGTAACAGCAACGACTGTCGAGAGGAGGAGAGTCCTGGGAGAGATAAACACCGCCAGGAGGAGAGAGAAGAAAAGACAGAGAGAAGAAGAAGAAGAAGAAAGGAAAGACCACAAGACAAACAGACAGAAGGAGGGAGTGAGAGAGAATAAAAGAGAGAGAAATTGACATAGATTTGAGTAGCATGAGACAGGAGGAGTCTGATCTGTTACAGCCAACACAGATCAGACTGTGGTTATATACTGGGCCACTTAAGGGTGTGGGTGCGTGTAACTGTGGCAGTGTTGGACAGGGTGTTTCTGGAAAAGCACATTTGATCAAATAAAAAGGTTGAAAATGTATATATCAAAGACAGAAAATGTATATATCAAAGGGGGGAACACAGGCAGACACACAAGGAGTGACAGTAAACATCCTGTTCTTACACGATTCTGTTGAGTTCATTAAGCTGCAGCCGGATATGTGTGACTAGTCCCTGAGGTGTAGTTACCTCATTTATATTCAGCTCAAGCTCACTTTCTTAATGGTTTAATGCTAATGGCCAGACAAACATGAGCACAGTGTAATTATAATGATGTGAAAGGCTGTAGACGAATGTTCTAAGACTTCTCTAATGTGGGGGTTTGAGTTTCCCCCAAAAACAGAACTATTACATGAGGAATGAATGACATGTTTCAGTTTGATTTAGAGTTTATCACACAACTCCACCTACTTCATGGAGAAGGCAAAAAAGTCTGAAGGGTTCAAAACTCCAGCAACACTTCAGCATGTGGCCTTTGTGAGGGGTCTGTCTGTGGGCTACAACTTGAGCCCTGTTTTTTTAGTCTTTATATTTGTTTACATTTGGCATATTGGCACCATTAAAAGTACACCAAATTAACTATTAGCAGTTCCTGTTTGCAATGCACCCGTTGATGTACAGAAAACTAACCCTGGGTTACTTTGATACTGAAAACCTAAAAATGTGATGATTCAAAAGCAAGTTTGGAAGATTCATTTTTTCCATGATTTCCAGGTGGATTGATGGACACTGCAATGGACATCTGAGTTGTGAAAGTGATTCTAAATCTACAAACATGCAACATGCCAATTGCCGCAAATAGGCACCAAGGGTTTCAAAGTACCTTAATTGCCTCTATGAGCTGTGTCACTGCTGCTTCTCCAACTGCTGACTGTCAGACTACAATAATTAAGTTCCTGTTGTTTGTCCTGTCCCTTTCACCTTATGCAGCACATACACTAAATCTTAGCCCAATGTGCAATAAACCAACTCTTTAGCGCTTAGCATCTTAATTCTTACAATCTCTTTTTAAGCCGCCGTGTTGTGAGTGTTAAAAGTATTGTCAAATGTTCATGTTTTAAGATGAAACGGACTGCAGCACTGTGCCAAAGACAAATTTCCAAAATAAAATTCACTCTATTATACTACAGTTGCAGAGCTTATATTAGTCTGCTGTAAGCACCTCTATGAACATACTGCCAATGAACAATTCCATACCATGTTCACACATTTTGTGTGTACTGTCGTGTTATGTTGTGTTCAACTCCAACTCCAACTCACCGCTGACTTCCGTACACTGCCTCGTGGTTTGGGTACAGGTCGGCTGGACTTGGTCTCAATGACCTCTGAACCGGGGCCCACTGGGATGTTCTGGTGTTTGGTCCTCTGGGCCTGCAGAGCCAGCTGGTAGGCTACCTCAAATGCCTGGCCGAGTGTTAGTATAATCTCATATGTCAGGTTCTATACAGGAAAGGGAGAAAAATGAAGAGCAGGCAGCCCTTTTAAGTGTTCTGGACTTCCAGCACAGAGAACGACACTATACTCAGTTTGCAGTGAGACAGCAAAAGATATGAAAAGAAAGTTTCTCTTCCCTAAAACTTCTTCAAAACAAAATTGCATAACAAGGAGAAGTGGCAGTAATCTCGGGAGTATTTTGCGGCAGCAAGCAGCTCCTCTCGGTACCTGAACTGGATACATCCGCTGTAGCTTAAAATTAAAGCTGCTGCTGCTCTCTATTGTTATACCCTGACAGCTTCCAAATATGAACAAGCACCCCAGACTAAAGAGAGGATTCACAAGCTTCACGCTACATGCCTGGGGAAGTTGAAAAAGCACAAAAATCACACAAAATCACATGGCGGGAACAGACACAGAACACAGTGCTCTGAAATAATCTGCATTTCCCTTCGATGAAGAATCTGCCCTGAGACAAATAAATCTTGTGTTTACTTGATTCCCCGATGTGCCTCTTTCCTGACAGACGTGATCAGCTCTGTGTTCCCTCTTTGTGTGGTGAGGATGGTGTCTGGTGGAGGCTGATAGCAGCAGTATGGTCAATATGTTTTTCAAATAACTGATCACATCTCATGACTGCTGGGGCCTTTGATGCTTATCAAACTGCTTTAGCACTTACTGCGGTGGGGCAATTCCTTGTTTCAGCCCCACAGAGGACATCACAGAGCTCAGAGAACTGCATGATCCCCAGGAAACTTAGCATTGTTAGGCAGACTTTAGACTGGAATGACCCTGGCGGCATTATGAGACAGATTAGGAGGATAATCATCAGATCTCAGGGGGGGACAGAGTTGGTAATGGAGGGATAGTTATCATGGCCAGAGTAGCACTGTGTCTACGAGGAGGCAATCAACTCCAACTGAAGCGTGACACCTTGAGGAGATAGGGCAGTCTAGAGATAACAGTGTTGACCGTGTACGCTGTCACATCTCCTCAGTGTAAGTACTGGAGGTGATGTTGGAGGAATTCAAATTTACCAGTAAGGAAAGTTTTCGACACAAGAAATTCTCCTACTAGTATTTTCCACCTTGTTTATGTTAAAAACCAGCAAAAACACCTAACATGCTCATATAATGTCAGAATAAGCTAATTCACCCTGAGACAGATATACCAGTGTTTTCAGAAAATGGGACATTGATGGTAATCTTACCACATCTACTGTGCTGAACACATGGCAGTAATGGTGGCTGGTCTGCAAGTCCTTGGTGATGTAGGCAAATGTGCACAAGTCCTCTGGGTCCTGGGCCGCGCATGAAATATTACGGATCTCATGCTCTGCAATGATGTTCTGCACAGAAGAGAGGTAGCATAGGACTGAGTAACAGGCTATAAATAATGTTTCTGTTTGATAGTAGTATTAATACAACATAAACACAATATCATCATCTAATATAGCACTTGAGCGCTATAAGTAGTGCATTATAAAAAAATATGATTTATCAACATGACAAGAGACAGCCAGTAAAGAGGAGGCATGAATCATGTATTAAAGCCATCGCAGTAAAGAGCAGCCATACAAAGTAATACTGGGCTGAGCTTCCGAGTCTTTGTTTATTAATGTCAAATAAATGTCAATATGAGCAGACTTGCTGGCTGTCAGGAAATACATGAACAAATCTGACATAAACTCGCAGGCATGACATTTACAATCACAGAAAGGAAGCAGTGTGATGTTTGACACTTTCAGGCACATGATCTCAAAATATTACGTAAAGGAAACATATTTGCACAGGGTTCAATTTTAAGTATAACATCACTCTGAAGACATGCAGGGTTAAAAAGGGAACTTTCGCACACCTTATTGGCTGCATCAATGAACTTTACACCCTTGTAGGTGATGGAGAGGGCGATGGTAGGGACTTTTCTCATTTGTTCTGTCGACCTCTGGAGGAAAGTAGAACACAGGCGTTAACATTATTTACCATATACTTATGTATCATGTCCTGTGTCTGTACCCTTAGACTAGAGAAGAAACTTTCTTTTACCCGCATTTTGGCACAGGCATCCTGCGTGGACTCTGTACCCCGTAGATCCTTAATAAGCATGGAACCGAGGTACTACAAGGGAACAGAAGAGAGAAAGAAACACAGTGTTGGTGTACATGTTCAATGAAAACCGCATCATGTAGGAAGGAGAGAGGCAAGACTGTACATTGGCTTCGTAGGCGCAGGATTCAAAGATGAGCTTCTCAGGTTGATGATGCCAGTTCTGGACCGGGGCGTACGGTGCTGCCAAACTGGGCGGCCGCAGGGTCAGACGAGGCTCTCTAGGCCGTTCTTCGTACCGTTCCTGGAAAAAAGAAGCATTATAATCATCAGAATGGCAGAGCCCCAATATATGACATACTGGAGAACATAACGTACTGCTGAAATGAAACCCAAACATACGTGTGATCTGTGTCGTTCACTGCGATATCTTTGGGTAACGTCATAGTCAGTATCTGGAGCTTTTTTCCTCCCTGGCTCTCCTACTGGCAGCAGAGGGTCCATTGAGCGTCCCGTGTAGGATTCCATCTGACTGAGGGGAGACGAGGTCTGGGATCCAGGCAGGTCTTGGCACTGGACAGACAGAGTTGGACACGGTTAGTTGTCCCATAATGAACAGTTACTGTCCTTAATTTTTTTTCCAAAACATGCAAAATGTGTGGACTAAATACAAAGTTAATGACTAAAACTAACAGAGCCACGCCTGAGAAAAGGGAAAACCATTAAAAAAACATTCACATGAGTTTAAAATTAGAAAGTTGTTGGTAAAACAGTGTAGGAGTCCTCACCCTGATCTGAGACAAACGAGGAGGCTTTACTGGAGGCTCCTCATAGGGCCTCTCTGCTAAGGAAGCAATGATGCGTTTCCTGTGACCAAGTAGGGAGATCTTTAGCACCTGGAGGAAAGAGAAGTTATCTGGTGAACATGTGGAGCAGCACTTGTGGAAGCAGAAGGGCTGGAAAGTTGGAGGCATACCCCTTCCCCTTAAGTCTTAAAGCCTCCAACCTTAAATGATACACTACAAGTCTTATTTTAGAACCAAGAGAGAACTAAAAAATCTTTGTTTTACCACTTTGTTTTGTTTCCCCTTATATATCCTTACCAAATCAATAACCAACCGAAGAATTGGAAACAGCTTCCCCAATATTCAACACCACATTACTGTGTATTCACCTTCAAAGTTTAAGTTTCCTGCCTCCTAAAACTGAAGCTGGAGTAAACTGTCAAACTTGTCTCTTATCCATTTAACACACTGTAAAACTAATTTCACTCTCTGATAGTCCTTATAGTCCACGTACGTCACTGTGACTCACATTGACAATCTCCAGTTCCCACAGGTTTTTGACACAGTCTAGCGAGCGGTACCCGCTGGCCAGGAAGTTATGCAAGTACTCGTGCAGGCCCAGATTCTCCAGCCAAGAGGACAGGGAACTGCTGCCGTCACAGCCTAGCGCTTTCACCTGTGGGAGAAGACTGAATCATTCACTGATGCTTTTTAAGGGCTGCGGGACAAGATCTGGGCATATATGCATTTTAAGTTTAAGTTTTTAAGTTTTAAGTTTTCCTGGCTGCTTTTCGGGCTTGCTTAGTCCCAAAAAACAATCTGAAAAACTCTATGAAAAGTAAATGCCCAGTATTCAAAATAGAGAAGTATTATCAGCCTAATGTACTTAAAATATATCTTTTTATACTTAAAAAAAGGAAAACCTATTCTGCAGAAAAATAACCCTGTAACTTGTTATTATATATTACAATATTAGATTGTTAATATTGATGCAACAAAGTTGAAGTAGCATTTTATTGTTGTAGCTGGTCGAGGTGGAGCTAGTTTTAATTTATTTTATTTGAAAATAATAATTAATAATAATAATAATTAATAAAATAATAATAATAATAAATAATAATAAGCTTATATTATACTGAACTTTTTAAACAAAGTAAAAAATGCCTTTATGACTGGAACAAGGACTGAAACATTTCAGGAGTCAATAAAACAAATAAAATCAAATAGTTATAATTCATAAGAAATGGGTAGAATAAAAAGAAGTCAGTGGTCCTCAGCGTAAGGTCAGCCCCCAAAAGATAATTAATGGGAGAGAAAAGACCAAAAAGAAAGTCTTGTACAAAACCGTAGATTTCATATTTGACTTTACCATTATTTTTCTTTTGTGTGGATATTTATAACTTTCTTCTTTATTTCTTTGTGTTAAGACACAAAAGAGTACTTTGGAAGAAGGTTATTTTATAATGTAAAAAACCTTTGGAAATTTATGACTATTTATTATATTATTATATTTGGTTTGAACTGTTAACATACTAAATGAATTCTTATTGTAAAATCTAATTTGGCACAATGGCCCACTTAGACCCAAATGTTATCATGGTTATTAAAAGTATCTATTGCTAAAACGCTTTGGCATTATATAAAATAAAATTAAAACTAGCTCCACCTGACCATGCTACAACAATAAAATGCTACTTCAAACTTTGTGCCCATCAATATTAACAAAATCTAAATAAGATTAATCTTATGTTGTAAACTCAAAGGAACTTTCCATGCCCACATATTATAAACCCTATATCATATTGCCAAGTTACTGAGGCGCGATGTGATGGCGTGGAATATTCAGAATATGGTTTTCCTTATTTTTAAAGTAATAAAAAGATATATTTTAAGTACGATGTTAGGCCTCGCAATAAATACTTCTCTATTTTGAATCATGGGGCATTTACCCTCTTTCCCATAGAGCTTTTTCAGATTGTTTTTTGGGACTAGCTTGTAAAGCCTCGCATTAAAGCAGCAGGAACCCCAAATAGAGAGACTTAAAGACACAAATAAGACTTAAAATGGACGGCTGACATCAGCTCATCATTCTCAGATCTAGTAGTCGCCCCGCGAGCACCTTAAAAGCATCAGTGAATGATAGTCGTAGTCTTCTCCCACAAAGTGAGAAGTATGCTTAGCAATATCGGCCAATGTTGTGAGCAGCGCATCTGTCCCCCTCCCTCTTTGTGGCTGCGAGAATCTGGGCCTGCCGAGTTACTTTGCCCATAATGCGTTCCGGCCAAGCGACGCGGCGTGACCGCTCATGCGCTAAGACGTGTGTCAATACATATACTCTGTTCCTGGGATATCTGGCCATATTGTGCTACATGTGATGATTTGTCACGAGATGACGTCTATGTCGCTTCTTTATACAGAGATTCTCATCAGAGGAGTGAAATTAGTTTTACAGTTGCTGCTTAATTATGAGCATAATGAGACCTACAGCTCCTTGACAAACGATATTACTTCCAGATCTCAGTTATATAGGGAGCAAAGGCCACCAATGGAAAAACTTCTTCCTGAAGTTGGAAGTATAACACATGAAGGTAATATTTCGTCTGGGTGTTGCTAAATTATATAAAATGGGCGAAGCACTGTTAATCCTCAATGAATTCTTCGCTAGGCCATGGTATTTGACTCTCCATTCTGCGGCTAAAAGGACCAGTTATATAAGGGGAACAAAACAAAGTGGTAAAACAAGATTTTTTTAGTCTCCTGGTTCTAAAATAAGAACTTGTAGTGTATATTTAAGGTTGGGAGGCCTTTAAGACTTTAAGGGGGAAGGGGTATGGCCTCCAACTTTCCAGCCCTTCTGCTTCCACAATGTTGCTGCTCCACAGTGTTCACCGATGTAATTCTCTTTCCTCCAGGTGCTAAAGATTCTCCCTACTTCGGTCACAGGAAACGCATCATTGCTTCCTTAGGCAGGAGAGGCCCCACTATTGAGGAGCCTCCAGCTAAAGCCTCCTCGTTTGCTCTTCAGATCAGGGTGGAGGACTCCTACACTGTTTTACCAACACATTTACTAATTTTAAACTCGAATGTGAATGTTTTTTAATGGCATTATTCTGGTATACTACAGGCGATGGCTACTGCTCTATTAGTTAAATTTAATAATCCAGACTGATATTTGTTTCCAAGTATTTATAGCTACCTTACACAAGTTTGTCGAGTGATTTATGAGGCGCACTATCAACTTGAAGGGGAAACGGAAAGCCTTTTATGGCACGAGACTAACCGTGTGGCCATACTCTGTCGTATTTGTATCCCAAGTGCCCAAAGGACACAGCACATTGGCGTATTTACCCCAGTAGCTAGCAGTATAACCAATGGTCAATTTATACAGGTGGAGTGAATCCTGATATCGTACCGGAGGAAAGCTCTCATTGGCCACTCTGCGTGGACCAGCTCAGGAGACGCACAGGGAGGAAAAACAAGTCGCATGTAAGTTACTTGGCGTATGACGGCATTACCAAAGATATCGCAGGTGAACGACACAGATCACACGTATGTTTGGTTTCATTTCAGCAGTACGTTATGTTCTCCAGTATGTCATATAGTATTGTCGGGCTCTGCCATTCTGAATGAATATTTTATAATGCTTCTTTTTTTCCAGGAACGGTACGAAGAACGGGGCGCCTAGAGAGCCCCGGTACTTAGACCCTGCGCAAACCGCAATTGGCAAGCACGTACGCCCCCCGGGTCCAGAACTGGCATCATCAACCTGAGAAGACTCTATCTTTGAATCCTGCCGCCTACGAAGCCAACTGTACAGCTTGCCTCTCTCCTTACCTACATGATGCGGTTTTCATTGAACATGTACACCAAACTGTGTTATCTTTCTCTCTTCTGCTTCCCTTGTATACCTCGCGTTCATGCTTATTAAGGATCTACGGGGTTACAGAGTCCACGCAGGATGCCTGTGCCATAAATGCGGTAAAAAGAATATTTCTTCTCTGTCAGTAACTATAAGAAGTTACAGGACACCAGGACAAATGAATATACATTATGTTATTTTATTTTTGGTTTTAAATACATGTTACGCCCTGGTCCTTCCACTTTCCACTCCACCCGAGGTCGACAGACAAAATATGAGAAAAGTCCTACCATCGCCCTCTCCGAATCACCTAAAGGCGTGTAAATTCATTGAATGCAGCCCAATTAAGGTGTGCGAAAGTTCCCTATTTTAACCTGCATGTCATTCAGGAGGTGATGTCTCATACTTAAAATTGAAACCCTGTGCAAATATGTTTCCTTTTACGTAATTTTTGGATCATGTGCTGAAAGTTCAAACATCACACTGACCTTCTTCTGTGATTGCTAAATGTCATGCCTGCGGACTTTATGTCAGATTTGTTCATGTATTCCTGACAGCCAGCCAAGTACTGCTCTATTGAGTTTCAATCATTTATTATGAACATTAATAAACAATAATCTCTCTTCTTCTCT